AAATTATTTAAGGAAAAAATCTTGAAGATAATATTTGGATAGTAAATGTAAATATGCAAGCATTTAATGCATATAGTAAAAAATTTCCAATTAAAGTATGAAATAAATGTGTGTTGACTTTTCTTGCTACTGTTTTTGGTAAATAGATTGGCTTATAATATATATATATAAACTCCAAATCCGCGCCGCCGCTTCATGTTAACGTAGCCCTGCCGTTGTGTTTTCCTTCATTAAAAACCATAACCTCCAAATAAATAAACCAAAAAAAAGGAAAAAAAATAAGACAAAAATTGGGGCAATTCCACCAGAAGGGATCTGGAGTCAAGTGATGCATATGCAATTTGTCTTTTCCACCAGAAGGGATTTGGAGACAAAAATTGGGGCACCACAAAAGCCCGTAAGCGGAAAAGAAAAATTGGGGTAATTACACTTGCAGATGAAGAAGCCCGGAGATCGAGAAAAAAATAAATACATCTTGCGTTCGAAAATCCACCGGTAAGTCTCATCGTCAAACGGTCAATTCATCTCCTAATTCCGACGATTCTTGTCGACCAGACGATACATCTTCAAAAATTATTCGGAGTCACCGTAAATAAAAAAAGCTCAAATTGACTGAAAATGAGAGCTTGCCTGCCCCGATCCCCAAGGTGAAAGTAAATCTGAAGAAGATGATGCAGCCCTTTTTAAATCTGTTTACCCTTTCTTTTATCTTTTTTTTTTCTTTAACCTGCGTGAACATATGTAGTATATGTTCAGTATATTTGCAGTATATGTACAATATATGTTTAATATATACTTTTTTTCTATCTGATCTAACGAAAAACTTCTCAGATGATAATTGTCGAACACGGTGTGCTTGATTTGTTGATAGATAGTTATATTATGTACATGTTGCGGGTATATGTTGTGGGTATATATAGTATATTTTCGGTATATGTATCGATATGAAAATTTGTATATTCGGGTATGAAAATTTACACGTTGCGGGTATATGTTGCGGTTATATACCAAAGTTGCACAACACACATATACATAAAATATACGTACAATATGCATAAAACACACAATCGAGATTCACGTAATTCAAGTCCACGATATCACATATACATAAAATATACTTTAAATATACACTCTAGTTTCAATCGTTTCTGAAAATCAATTTCAAAACCCACATATACATAAAATATACCTAAGATATACACTTTAGATATTTTCACGAGAAGATCGTTTCTCTCGGTTAGAACCCACATATACATAATAATATATCTAATATATACCTAAAATATACCTCAAATATACCCATTTTTTTTCGTTCTGGTTCAAATTTGATGCATTCCATAGTCAATCCGAAAATCTTGCGCAAAAAACATGGGATAGGATAGAGAAAGCGAAGTAACTGATTGTAGGCATTAATTCAAATAATCCTCATCTATTAGGTATAATTCCAATTAAAGTATTATTAAAGGTAATGTTGCAATTACTTAAAAAACGATAAGTATACATGAAAATTTCCCAATACTCTAATATTTTCTTTTATTAACAGAAAATTTAAATGAAAAATAAATGATGAATGCTTGGGTTTGTAATTGGGTCCAAAATAGACCCAAGTGTGGACTTGATCTTTTTTTTTTTTTTTTTTTTTTTATTGCCACATAAGCTAGACTATGTCCACCTTTAATTGCATTGGGAGATATTTTTTTTATAGACTAGGTCTATTTCCTACATGACATGTGATTTTTTTCTAAGTGATCTAAAGCATTGTGGGTACTCTTAATCATGTAATTTTGCCACATATGATGGCGAAGTATGCGAGTCTCCCACTTAGGCTCAACGCCTTCTGAATTAATATATAATGGGATTCGTTTGAGTATTTTATCGACGACCCACGAGATCTAAAATGACTAATTGAAGACTTTAGATTATATTAATTTGAAATGTGAAAGGTGAGTGAATAATTAATTTGGGATTTGAAAGATAAAATCTATCAATTTATGACCCCTGGTGATTAATAAATCAGTTGCAATTTTTAAAAGGTAAAATATGTGTTATATGTTTTATTTATCTTGAAATGTTTTTATTTATATTTTTACAATTTTTATAACATTAATTTTTTTTTTCTCACATTTGTCATATCATTTTATTTTTATATTTATGGTTTATTTTTTTTACAATTATATTTTAAAATTATAAATTGATAATTTAATATATGTTGAGGCCCTGAATCTTTAAATTTATTCTTTCCAACAAATAAATTATTGTTTTTTACTTTCATATTTCGAATGGAAATTATCTTTCAGGTTGATGATTGACACGTCATTCAAGAATCTTACACATAAAACTTCTTCTAATCTAAAAACCACTCTTATGTATTAATAAATATAGTTCAATTGTGTATCATTTGTTGAGCAGTGCATAATCACAAAGATCTCCAATTAATATAATTTCTTTATTATTTAATCAAAATATATAATATGAAAAGAAATAATTTGCTTTATTCATGCTTTTACTAATTGACATATAAAATTAAGAAATAATTAGTACCTTCCTTTTCTAAAAATAAAATGAAAATTATAGGTCGAAAAAAAAAGTGTATCTCTAATGCGCGTGACGTGGCAACACCAAGTCCAACAAAGAAGTCAATAGGTCAATATTCCTCATGGAAAATGTGCAAGATCATGCACCAAACCGACCAAAGTATATCTCTAATGCGCATGAGTTATGTTAGATCTGTCACGATCCCCAATGTTACGATGTCAGGAGGGTGGTGATAGTAGCGGCATCTAACTCTATCCATATGTATGGACAGATGTGCGCTAATTTGAAGATCAATCTGGAGTGTCTGTATTTCAGCGCCACATTTAAAGGAGGCCTGAAGAGGTATGTGTAAAGTGCTGAAGAGCTCTTCGTTGTGGTCCTGTACAATCCTCCTCTGGGTGTGGCAGTCAAATGAGCATCGGTGTTTATGGGAAACTGAATAGGGTGTTGGAGTGTTGGCATGAACCTATGTGGCAACATGATTCTTGTCAAGTGTTGAGGCGTGAGTGTGCCCAAGGCAGTAATAAAAGAGATATTTCGCTCCACCTTCAAAAGTACGAGAGCACAAGAAGATAATATCCCTTAGCTTTTCACTTTCATCTCTGTTCGCATGAACCACAATACCAGACAAAGAATGAGGATGTCCATGTTTCTGCTATGTGTGCGGTGTGAGGAATCTCATGGGCAAAAAAAAAATAAAAATTCTACCGCGGGTGCGAATATACGAGTCCTTGTGGAAAAGTGCTCCCACACTCTCCTAGTTGCATCACTCTCATAAAGAGGTGGGTGAAGGTCTCGGTATGGTAACGATCAGTATCGAAGCAACAAACAACCGCGAAGCGAAGGAAGAGCCCTTCGAATACTGTGTCAGTGGAGATCCGGTGCATAAGAAGGCGCCAAAGAAGGACCGTGTTAAAGTTTTCAAGTTTTTCTTATGCCTTTGCTGTAAATACTGATCTCGTTATATATGTAGAACTTTAAAGCCATTATACATGTTGTTAGGATATCACTTGTGAGTTGTTCCACATTGTTTTACATTAAAAATAGACTCACCTTATAATTCCAATTGGCTACTCCTCATTCCACCAATTGGTTTTGGGATGGAACCCCACTTGGACTTCATATGGGCTTTCTCCGCTTATGGTGCGCTTCATGTTAGTGAGACCGCACTCGTTTTTCCCTAGTTTCTTACACATGTAACTAATTAATGTTCTTGTTTTTCTTTTTTATATCTATTCTTCTTCTATTTTTTTTTAATAGTTGACAATATCTAAAAATATATAAGCCTAAATTCGAAATAGAAAAAAATAAGAATTTATTTTTTATAAGCAGATTGATATTAAATTAGCCAATTTTATCTCATTTCGAGGTTTAACCAATCAAATCGTTTAATTAATTTGTTTAGTATCAAAGTTATTTGATTAACTTTTTGGACACAAAATGTCAATTCTAAAAAATCTCAAAACAGCGGATTTTTGGAAAAAGATGATCGAAAAAACAAGATAATATAATGATACAACTATAAATTTTCTACTAATACAATTATTTACCCATATCAAGTAATACAAGATATCTATACAATCACCTATCTCATATCATCGGTTTTGCTATAAATCCATCGGATGACTCGGCTTATGGAGTCATCTATAGTTATTCACAAATGATATATTGACACGTGTCCTGTAATAAATGCACATTGGACATGTGTCAGTATATAAAGTTATGGATTGCTCCATAAGAGAGTCATCCGATGAGTTCATAGAATTTTTACTCATATCTAATACTACAATGAAATATCATCACAATACCTAAATCATCTAAAGTAGTATTATTTTTTCTCTTATGATTTTGATGAATAACGATGAATTTGTTATGTTGTTGGGATTAATGTGTAGTCCTTTGGCTTCTCGTACGTTGTATCACTTGAATTTGGTTTATGCTACTTATCGTTTGAGAAAAAAAAAATTGTTCTCAAATAAAGCGAAAACTTATCATCTCTTTCAATGGCTTAAAAATATAAACAATGGTATTTTATTTAAACTTTTTTCTTAACTTTTCATTAAATTTTGGAACAAATTACTTTCTCAACCACTATAATACGTTTCTTCTAAGCTAAAATTAGTAATTATTTATGTTAAAAAACCAATAATTATTCCTATCTATTATGTTTCAATAATTACTCATTAATCCTACAATAACTAGTTTAATAAATTAGTTATAGTATTATATATTCATTTTTACGCTTGACTAATTTACATAACTACAAATGAAATAATAGCTTTAATATTGTAGTAATTAATTTGTAGGTTGCATAGAAAAAAAAAAATCTTTATTTATTTATTTATTTATTTTTTTGTGAAAAATAATTATAAATCAACACTCGCAACTCATATGCCAAATAAAATAGAAAGAAAAGGTTAAAAAGAGAACACTCACTCACTCACTCTAATAAGCAGCTCAAAATCATGTCCGACAACATTGAAACCCCAATTCAGAATCCCCTAACCCAAGACCCTCAGCCCTCATCAACCACCACCATGGCCGAGACCGAAGTACCGCCGCCACAGTCCGACAACAACACCGCCTCCGTTGCCGAGAAGCTCTCCAACATCTCCTTCAGCATCTGGCCCCCGAGCGAACGCACGCGCGACGCCGTCAGGCACCGCCTTATCGAGACCCTCTCCTCCCCCTCCATCTTGTCCAAGCGCTACGGCACCGTCCCCAGAGAGGAGGCCGCCGACGCAGCTAAGGTCATCGAGGAGGAGGCCTTCGAGGTGGCGGGAAAGGGAGCGACAGCCGACGGCGATGGGATCGAGATCCTGCAGGTTTACTCCAAGGAAATCAGCAAGCGGATGCTGGAGAGGGTGAAGGCCAGATCTGGCGATCAGGGGGCTCCTGCGGCGTTGACGCCGCAGCCGCCGCCGAACAAGGCGGAGGAGGAGGATGCGGAGTCCACTGCACCGCCGCACAGCGAGAAAACCGAGTCCGCCGCGGATGACGAATGAGTAACTGAAAATCGTTGCTTTTTTTCCGTTATATTACGTTTCTAATCTTGTTAGTGCTATCTGTTTTTCAGTGTTTATGTTCTGTTGAGATCTGCAATGGTATTGCTGTTATGCGGATTCCTTAATGCTAAATATTAGTTTAATTAAAATCATAGCATTTTTTGCATTTTGAAGAAAGTGGAAAGTATGCTTGAATTGCAGATTCTTCATATTTGGAGATGGATTTTTGGAAATTGATTGAATGAAATGAGTTGTTGGAGTGGACTTGGAATTTGATGTTGGATTGAGGATTATGGGGTATTTTGTAAAACATCTAAGAAGCTTCAACAGAAATCGGCAAAAAAAGGATCATCGGATGGCTCGGCTTATGGAGTCATTCATAGTTATTCACAAATAATGTATTGACACGTGTCCTACAATAAATGCACATTGGACATGTGTCAGTACATAAAGTTGTGGATGGCTCCATAAGGGAGCCATTCGATGACTCCATAGAATTTCTGTTTCGCTCCCACAAGATTGTTTCTCTCACACTTGGTTTAATCAGTAAATTGAGAAATGATTTTATAGCCTCCATACAAAGTAATTCCTCTAAATGACAGTTAAAATAAATAGGTTGGAAAAATTGGCCAACTTTTAGCTCTTTTTGACAGGTCCCCCGTTTTACATTCTTTTTGTCTTTTGGAGTGGAAACTTTTAAGCCAGAATCACTCTTCAGGGGTCATTTTGTGTTTTTCTGCCTTCTCTGAATCATTTTGTAACAAATTCACAGCTCGGGCATTTCTTTGTAAGTACCAAGTATATGTTTTGTTTATGGTGGTTGGGTGTGGTCTTAGTTTCTGATAAAGCGATGAAATTTATTTAAATTTCAAGCCAAATGGAAGACTATATGATGAGCTATGTTGTGGTGGATCTATATGATTCAATCTATTATGATATTCGACTGTTGAAATCAGTGTATGCAATCATGGAGTTTTTAGGAGCAAGCAAAGTGCATTGGTCCACCCTTGCTCATTTTGTTGGCAAGATTTGTTGCATGTTTCCTTTTTTCTGTGTTTGGGCAAGATGTGTAATGAGAATAAGATATAATGTGGAAAAAGCTATGATGGCCTTCGGAGGCAATTGGTCATGATCTTGCTTGATACCATTTAGCACGGGTCGAAATTCACTTTCTAAAGGGTTGTTTGGAGGGTTCTCAAGTGACGGGTGTAGAAAATCAGGCTTCAAATGGCCGTCTGGTTATGTTTGGATCCCTCTCGTCAATTCTCTGTTGGAGTATATGTAGAAGCTCGGCTTCGTGAATGAGATTCATGTTTTTAGTCAAGATGTTCGCAGTTTGTTTATTTATGCGAACATAATTTCTTTATTTTACATTGTAGATAATATGATTTGATGTGTCGAACAGAAATATCATATTATTGGTTCTTTATAAAATATAAATATTTATTCACAACCCAAACATAAGTGAACTAATTGACGTGAAAGGCCTGGTGTATTTACTGAAAGCTCGATATTTTGAAAATGCTATTTTCATTTGAATGAGAACCATGTTTAATTAAACAGTATGACCTTATGTTATACATTTGGATGTTGTAGTCCATCACGGATGAGACAAAAAATTACTATCCATTATTTGTAAAACATAAATAATATAGTTCACACGCTAGATGGAAATGGACAACCCTTTCGTGAACGGTTGTAGTGTCAATTGTACAATCAAGATAGGCTGGTTGGTTGCACTAGTACACTATGTGTATTGAATGAATCTTAGAGAGGATAAGTTTATTTTATACTGATCATGTAAACGAACTAGACATCGGTTAATTACTGCGTACTCTTAACCCGCAAGATAGAAACAAACGCGTGCACTCAATAACTATTACTTTGATTCATCAAAAGTGAGATCCATTTAGTTGCCTCAATAGTCTGACGTGTTTTGGGTAATAGTGTTGTGTGTATGGTAAGTTGTTCGAATATTTATGGACACAGTGTGCGATAGTGTGATTATGTCCCCGAGATGAACTCAAGAATGATTATTATGTTAATCCCAATTCGACATAATAATAAAGATTTGGGTGGTACTGGTCTCGGCTCAAGAAGTCAATTAATTATATTACCAGCAATTAAATTAATTGGCATACATTATATCTTAAACACTACAATTAATATTGGAGTCTCAAATGTAATTTAAACGCTAAATGAGGAGTGCAATAATATTCTTTTAGTGGACTGAAATATTTATTCAAATTTGAGCAGAGTGAACTCAACCCATAGTTAGACCCAAACTTGGGAAGCCCATATTTAGTACTTTTTTAAGACCCTTGGTGTAGCCTCTAAATACATTACATCTATTGAGATTTAAGATTGAGTTGTGCCATACATATTATACACGCATAATAGTTGCCCCCTCTCTCTAATAAATCTCAATCGAGATATCTCCGAGATCGTCACTCACCAACATGAATGGAAAAAATGTCGAGTCATACATTAGAAAGTTCGAGGTAAAAAAAAGGCAAAAAATAAATATATATTCAATTTCGGAAACAGCCTGATGCCGCCGACGATCATCCGATGTGACCGACAATGTCCCACGGAGTTCTGACGAAGACCCAAGAGCAAATGGCTAAGGCGAAAGGGCAGCTGGTGGTCGGCGGGCCGCGGTTGTAGCCTCTGACCAGGCACAGCCCGCCGCGGGTAATTGAAGATGCTCGTGCATAAATACAGTCAAGCACTTCCGCGCAAGTTTTTTGAAGGCGTCGCGGCCTTCGCGCAAACATTTCTGTAGATACATGGAAGTCAAAAAGAGAAGCTGGAAAATGAGAGTGAAAGACAAGTTAAAACAATTCGCGGGGATGTCTTTCAGGGGTTCTTCCTGTCAATATCAATGTGATAAAAGCAGTGGAAGTCAACATCATATGCAATTGTTGTGGAGAGGATTCATAATATTTGGAGCATATATTTTTCAAATGTAAAAGAGCTCAACGGGTACGGAAAATGGCTCAATATGGCTCCCGTCAGCTGAGAAGGCATCCAACGTGGACTTCAAAGAGCGGTGGTCGAGAGTATGGTCACTTGATCACAAAGAAACTTCAGAAGCAATAATTCAACTTACTACATATATATTATGGTGGTAGTGGAAAACTCGAATTTATGGGTATTTCAAAGTGTGGAAGCCAAAAAGATCCATTACCGATTCTGCTGCGAATGAATGGATGGGGTCCAGTGCTGTCCATAAACTGACTTAGGGGTGTTTTTCCTAGCTAGGTCCTTTAGTTCAATAGCTAGATTACTACTCCTGTATTGTAATTTCTAGTTTTGATTTCCAGGCATGTTTCTAAATAAAACAAAGAACTAAATAATATGTTTAGATCAATAAAAATAGTTATAATTTTCATTACCTAATGCGAACTGTAGCCTGAGTATCAACCTTCTCATCTGAAAAACATATAAATTTCTCCACAGGAGAATCCCATGTATACAACACTTTCTCCACAGGAGAATGCCATCATATCTCAGGGAGTAAATTATAATATAACAATTAAAAAACAACACCAAATCTCGCAAGACATGCATTTGAGCGTAGTTTGCCTAAGTAAAACCTGTTCTCTGAGCACGCCCACGAACTAGATAGGAGCCCCGAACAAGGACAGGGTCGTTCTTTGGTGGCCACCATTTTATTTAGTAAGCCCCGTCGTTTTACAAATCGGACACAAATTTTTGTGAAGGAGCCACTGTTTGATACAGTCACTATGAAATTCATGCCCACAGTCGAGGGTCCCAAGATCTTCCCCATCAATGTATTCCTCCTGCAACATCCAGTGAAAGATTAGAAAACATGCAGCACATTAAAAAAGATAATTGCAAAATAACCCCTTAGATTTGATGCATTCACAAAGAAAATACCCAGAGGGTCTTGAAAATGACAAATATAAGGAAAAACTCTGAGATATCTTTTCTTATTACCAGGTATCAAGGAAATAAATAGCTCGCTAAAGTTGCCGCTATTTGAGAAATAGCTTTTTTGGCAGCGTGCCGCTATTTGAGAAATAGTTTTTTTTGGCAGCGTGCCGCTATTTGTATTCATGTGCAATTTAGCCGCTAAATCCCGCTAAATCTCCGCTATAGCTACAGTGCCATAAACGTTTTAGCCCGCTATTTAAAACCTTGCCAGGTATAAAAGCTTAATGCTGAATCATATACCTCACTTATAAGCTATCGGCTAGCTTATCAGCTAGTTTTACCAAACATAGCCTAGCCTATGATAAGCTAGCTGAAATAAAAATTACAACAAGCTTAGTTGAAAAACTACCCAAAGAAGCTTATGAGACAAGCTCGAGCTTTTTAAAAAAGTCCGTCCTACCAAACGAAGCTTATTTGAATACAAGAAACTTATAAGCTAATCAAATAAGCTATAAGCTAGCTTATTTGGTTACCAAGTAACTTGTAAAAGTTTTAAGTTTCTGTAAGCAAGCCAAAATTTCAACTAATTTTATTCAATAAGAAAGATTTATTAAGGTGAGAAGAAAAAGTTAGTACTCTGCAAATACTACAAGGCTCGGTCTCTGTCTGATTTTCAGCACGGTTCACATTTGTTGTTAGCTTCAAACGACTCATTATTGTTTCCTCATTTATTCCAGTTGACACATTTCCAATTCGCTCCCCAAGGGCCAATAACTCCTGCAAGAAAAAGCCGAAACAGATTTTGCGAATTTGTAAATAGAAAATTAGAGAATAAGCATAAATTATGGGATGAGAAGAATAATGTTGCATTTTTTCACCTCATAAGACATGTTATCTATATCCAATCGCATGTCACGATGACGGTCGTGTATATCACTCATCCCGAAAAAGAGCGAGCGATCAAGAACCATCACGTCCTGGTACAATATTAAGAAAAAATAAAATAAAAATGATTTGTGTTTTGGAAATAGAGAAAAAAGAGTATGTTACTGAAAAGCAAGAAAGAAAAACAAAAAGAAAAAAAAAAAAAAAAGATCCACCGCGAGGGGAGAAGTAGGAAAGTGTCGAAGGGGCAACGTCAGCATTGTAACAAAAAACACGATAAATTCATGCTAGGTAAGAGACTCAAATTCGTGATCTAACTGAATAAGACAATAGCGTTAGGTGACCGATAATCACTTATTGTGCCGTGTGGAAAAAGTTTAAATGCAAATGAGTTGCTATAATGCTTATAACTTCAATAAGTGAACACCATTAATTGCGAATCAGTCACTAGTTATAACTTCAATAAATGAACAATAATGTTTCTCTAATACATGTTCACACCAAATGCCATTGCAAACTCTATCATCAAAACTAATGACCATCAGAATTTGGTGAAATTACAAGATTGGGGAGTATTTGCAAACACTATTGGAAAAAAAACGACCAACCTCAAATCTCAACCCCTCCCCCCTTCGCATGAGATCCAAGACATGGCGAATCTGCTAAAGAAAACAAAAACACAAAACAAAATCAATAAGATTCACAAAAATGATTGTGTAAAGGAAATAAATTCACAAGCATGAATTTAGCTTGTTATAAATGGAAACTCAAATTATCTTTAAGCAATGTGGTCAGGACCCAGCAATGAATCATTTGAAAAATATTTATCTGCAAATCATCAAACAAATTTAAACTCCAGAAGTTCATAAAACCAACAAATTGCAAGTGAAAACGTTACTCAGTGGCGAGAATTTACTTCCTATACTATACAGAAAATCCAACTTACAGAACCCAATTTCTACTTACAGAACCCAATCCCGAGTGAGTGATTGTTGTTCAGTGCCTGCTTGATTTTTTGTATCTTGGAAGGTTCTTGGAATTTTGAAAAAGTTTCAGATGATTTAGGTTTAACGATGTTCAATAACCATAAAAAGTTTCATATGTTATCTTCTTGTTCTTTAATTTTCTCAGATATCCCTAAGGTGGAATTTTCCTTCATTTTCTTTGGAGTCCACGCATAAAAAGTTAGATTTTCCTTTCCATTTTAGGATTTTAGGCTTTTAAACTTTAGTCAAATTGTCAGTTCTGCATGCTTCAGGAAGGAAAATTATTTGTGGGGGAAAAAAACCGAATAATTTAGAATGTAATCACAATTATCATTGAGATTAATGTATCACTAGAACAGCCATAGAAGCTGAACCTTAATAATCATATAAAAAGCTTTTCTTTCCTCTGATTATCAAGCAATTGCCCATGCTAAGCTATTCCATACTAGATTCATGTCTGAATGCAGAAAACACAACTTTAAAGCAGATACAAAACCCCCAACAAACAAAAAAATCACAAGAAATTCTTTCGCAAAATACACAGCAGAGTAAACACATAGCATTACATCATGAATCCAGGAAATCACCGAGAAAAGTCGACACACAAGCAAAGTTTGGACAGAGTAATGCGTACATTCAAGTGGACAAACAGAGAAGAAACGGAATAACAGAACAAGCTAAGGTAGACAACAGAAAGATAATCATATAAACAAATTAAATAATTACCATCCATAACAAAACCCAAATTCAAGAGCACAAGAAATACAAAACATACCTCAGACATTAAACTCGTTCTTCCTTCACCACCGGCAGCCAAACTTCTCAATGAGTGTGGCAGTTCAAGAGCACTATCCACATGCTGTCTCTCGGACAATCCTGACCTCAAGCCCGACAAATGCCGACCATGGATACTGGGCCCAGATGAAATCTGTGACGGGCCTGACTGTACAGCTTGTCTGCTACTCTGACCACCTCCGGACGACTCAATACCGCCAGACGTTAACAACGACCTCCGAACAATTTCCGATAGCCTACGGGAATATTGTGGACGGCTGCGGTTGGCCCACGAAGGCCCTGACGAGTTAACACCCGAAATGGGTCCCACGCGAGAAGTAGATCCTATCTCGGGAGCAGGAACAAACATGGGATGTTCGGAAATGCTTCTCACCACATTTCGAGGCGCGAATTCATCGTAAAGCATAGGATCCCTCTCGCCTGACGCCGCCGAAGACCCGGCGGCTGCCCATCTCGACTGTGTGTTTCTACGAGCGGAAGGGGGATTCAAAAGGCCCGTCTGGTCATTGTTTTCGGCAATGGGTGGAGGGTTCAGGTCAAGCAAACGATCACGAAGAGATACGCTCGACAATTCCCTGGAAGACGGGTCATCTGAGAGCACATGACCCTGGTGGCGTGACTGTGACCCGTTGATCCTCAACCGGAAATTCCTCCGAGAACTCTCGGATCTGGTAGAATAAGAGAATGATTCAGGCAAGAGAGTCCCGAGCCTGAGTCTTGAGTTTATCTGCTCGGGCACGTTATTATTGGTACCTGGCTCGTTTTCCATGGGCCTTGTTGAGCTTCCTGCCCCAGATGACTGCCCACCATGCACCTCCAGTGATTTTCTCTTGCCCGACATGCGCCGGCCGTCCACTGAGAAGCCCTGTCCACTTTCCACCCCGCCAGCAATATGCTCACTGCTTTCAGAAGGCAAATCGGAGGAATTTCCGATAATATGACAGGTGTCATGCTCGGGATCCTCAAACTCAGCCTGAGTGCTATTTGAGTTTAAATCGATATTACTGTCAGGAGGAAGAATATTCGACGTCTGGCAATGAGACCATGCATGTTCTCGTTTTCTTTCATTATTTTCACCTTCACTGTGTGTAGTGGTGGAACTAGTTTCGCCTGAGCTCCACTCGACATTTAGCAGCTGGCAGCCATGAGGGTGGAGGTACTGACAATTTGCTTCATTTGGTGATGTTCTGTAGTCCGGGAGCCGATTAGGGGGAGATGTCTGTATATTATTCCAAGATATTTGGGACTCTGTAACAGGCTCACTTGATGTGGAGCCATGTTCGAAGCTCAAGCTCTCGGGCAGGGTAGTAATGAAACTTTTGTGCCCTTGCATTAGGGCTAAAGTTGGACTTTTTATTTAAATGTTATGTATTTAGAGGATGGATATCCGAGACCTCGGGTTCAGAAAATCTGCGGAAGAATTAAAACTCTAAAGTGAGTTTCATATGTTTTACCTTTTTCAGAAAAAAAAAAGGAAAAACAAAGAAATGGGGTTAATCTTTAAAATTTGATAACTAAAAGGTTTGCAGAAGTGTGTTGCACCCGGCGAATAGATATAGCATGAAACAACTAATGAATTATACATGAAACTGCTATACACATATCAGCGTAACATTAGTTAATATTACTATTTGAGTCCAATAGATCATTGTCAAGAAACACACACACACACACACACTCACACACCAACACTGCTTTAGGCTATAGGTTTCTCTGCCAGAGAATACAGAAATTTATTTAAATAATTAAAGGCAACTATAATGTCCATTAAACCTCATAAGCATGAAAAGTGGAGCATTATTTGCATATGTAGGAAATTATATTCCCTTAATCCCTTCTACCAAATGCTGAAGAAAGTTCCGAACTTCAACTCAAGCAGCAACTGGAAGCAAAATTCAAGTCCTTGCACTCACCAATTATATGATATCCTACAATCACACTAAAGCAAGTAATTCTACAGGAAATGAAAATGCCGACTAATTGTACACAAAAGAAATTGAGTTGAATATCACCGACAAAAACGCACCATTATACTCGGAGTAGTTAAACAACTATTGAGAGCTATAAAAAGAAAAAGACACAAAACAAAAACTTTACAATATTATTGGCATGTCAAAAAATTTCAGCATTCAGCCTTCCCAAGTAGATGGAGAACAATAATAGCCCAATACAAAAACCAGAAACTTAAGCATGATAAGTATTCTAACGTGAGAATAAAAACGAGAGAGAAAAAAATAAAAATAAAAAAAAAGAAATAAACTCATTCCAGGGGCAAAAACTAACACTGGAATGAAGAGAAAATCCGAAACAAATCAGTAATGAAACAACCATATGTAATTCACAGTTTTGATATGGAGCAATCGGATGGCTCGACTTATGGAGCCATCCACACTTATTCACCAATAGTGTATTGACACGTGTCTTTCAATAAATACATTTTTGACAGGTGTCAATACATTAAGTAGTGGATGACTCCATAACAAAACCATTCGATGGCTCCATAGAATTTTTGATGTAAGTCAAGCTATCTGTCTGTGAAGAAAAACGAAATTTGTCAAAACCCGAAAACAAGAAAAGAATCATTCTTATTCA